CTGGGCAATAACAACACTCAGAAAAGTAAATACACACTGGGCAATAACAACACTCAGAAAAGTAGCTACACACTGGGCAATAACAACACACAAAAAGGTAAATACACACTGGGCAATAACAACACTCAGAAAAGTAGATACACACTGGGCAATAACAACACTCAGAAAAGTAAATACACACTGGGCAATAACAACACTCAAAAAAGAAACTGCACAGCATGGGTAACAACATTCAAGGGAAGTAACTACACATAGATGAGGGAACAACTGTCAGATCGGGAGAAGTAACTACACTCAATGGAGATACTAACACCCAGGGAAAGAACTACACTCAGGGGAGGTAACAAATCTTGGTTTGGGTAAAGTAACTACTGGGTACACTCAAGGGTAGTACCGGTAACAACACTTGGAAACCATACTAGTATCTTTAATTGAAACTTTCTACGTGTACCAGAGTAGTGTCTGCTGTGAAACGGTTATCACTGCGAGTATGAAATCTGTGTTGTGTATTTGACTAGGATGATGGATCCTGGTGCCCAGCAGCAGTATGATGACTACCTTCGGGCCTATGCTAACATCTTGTACCAATGGGGACGTGGAAATCAGGCAACGCATGTTCTCAAGTTTGTCTCCAGTCCTAAGGAACAGCACAAGGGGATAGGTAAGTAATGTAGATGAAACAGCCAAGTAACATTTATACTCAAGTTTGTCTCCAGTCCTCGGGGAACAACACAAGGGGAAAGGTAAGTAATGTAGATTTAACAGCCAGGTAACACTTGTACTCAACTTCAAGTCTATCTCACGTTCCCAGGAATGAGAACTAGAGACTAGAGGCATAGTTATGCCCATGTGGCTGACATTACTTAAGTACACTTGGTGATTGGTATATGTAGTAGACCTGTTCCTATCATTTACTTTATGCAGGCAACACAAACAGTTGTTTTTTTTGTTGTTTTTTGCAAATTGGTATTTTGTAACATATAACCTAAGTATGAAATGGGTTTTTTGGAGAATTTGGGCAAAGTACCATCTATATACAATTAAAAATATAATATGTTTTGTTCACAGATTTTTAATCTATCTACCAATGCTGTAATATAATATTTTTTGTTTGCAGAGTTCGGACTGAACTGTCACCGTTGTCGGAAGGAAGTGCGAGGGCCTCAGTGTGGATCCTGTAAAGTTCTTGCCTTCAACTGTGTCATATGTCACATCGGGGTCAGAGGTGAGAATTTAGCAGTTAGTGTAGTTGATAGTTAGGGTCCATCTAGTACTGGATAGTTGGAGTCAGATATGAGAGGTCTGCTTGCACCAAGTATTTGGTGTAGAGGTCAGCTAATGCTGGATAGATCACGTAACAGGTGAGAGGTCAGCTATTACTTGTTAGTTTGGGTCAGAGTTGAGAGATCATCTGTACCTGGATAGTTTGGGTCAGAGGTGGGAGGTCAGCTAATACTAGAATAAAAGGTTGGGTCAGGTTTAGAGGTAAGCAAATACCAGATAGCTTGAGTCGCAAGTGAGAGGTAAGTTAGTACTGGACTGTTGGTGAATTTGGTTTAAGTTTATTTGATATCACACTAATCAGAACTGAATTGAATTATCAGTAAATTTTAGCTGGAATGTTTCATCTGTTTATAATTCTGTTAATCAGAAGCAAAACATGTACAATTGTCTTACAGTTATTAGATAAGTTAAATATGTCTCTATTTACTGAATAAAATACTTACAATATCAAATTAAGTAGGTGTATATTTGCAGGCTCTCTGTGTATATATATTTCTATAAAGGAGAAACATCATAAATAATTCTTAACCTTTCTAGGTGCCTCCAACTTCTGTTTGACATGTGGACATGGCGGTCATACAAACCACATCATACACTGGTTCAAGACTCACGATGAGTGTCCCTCCGGCTGCGGCTGCAAATGTATCAGAGGCAAAACCTACATCACTATGTCCTCCTACAACTCCTGAGGGGTAGACCCACCTCAATAATTCCCGAGGTTAACTTTTATTCCCAGATGTAAGGAGCAAATGGACATCTATAAATTCCTGAGACTAACCTGTATCCCTGATGGAAAGATCAGATCCACATCTGCAATTCCTGGGGGGAGCGGCTAACCTGTATCCCCTAAGAGGAGGTACAAACCCACATCAAAACTCATAGAGGAGATGCTAACCTGTATCCCCTAAGGGGAGGGGCAAGCCCATGTTTACAATTCCTAAGGCTTGCCTGTATCCCCTAAGAGGAGGTACAAACCCACATCAAAACTCATAGAGGAGAGGCTAACCTGTATCACCCAAGGGGAGGGGCAAGCCCATGTTTACAATTCCTAAGGCTTGCCTGTATCCCCTAAGAGGAGGTACAAACCCACATCAAAACTCATAGAGGAGAGGCTAACCTGTATCCCCTAAGAGGAGGTACAAACCCACATCAAAACTCATAGAGGAGAGGCTATCCTGTATCCCCTAAGAGGAGGTACAAACCCACATCAAAACTCATAGAGGAGAGGCTATCCTGTATCCCCTAAGAGGAGGTACAAACCCACATCAAAACTCATAGAGGAGAGGCTATCCTGTATCCCCTAAGAGGAGGTACAAACCCACATCAAAACTCATAGAGGAGAGGCTATCCTGTATCCCCTAAGAGGAGGTACAAACCCACATCAAAACTCATAGAGGAGAGGCTATCCTGTATCCCCTAAGAGGAGGTACAAACCCACATCAAAACTCATAGAGGAGAGGCTATCCTGTATCCCCTAAGAGGAGGTACAAACCCACATCAAAACTCATAGAGGAGAGGCTAATCTGTATCCCCTAAGGGGAGGGACAAGCCCATGTTTACAATTCCTAAGGCTTGCCTGTATCCTCTAAGAGGAGGTACAAACCCACTTTAAAACTCATAAAGGAGAGGCTAGCCTGTATCCCCTAAGAGGAGGGGCAAGTCCATGTTTAAAATTCCTAAGGATAGCCTGTATCCCCAAAGAGGAGGGGCAAGCCCATGTTTACAATTCCTAAGGCTAGCCTGTATCCCCTAAGGAGAGGGGCAAGGCAAGCCCATGTTTACAACTCCTAAGGCTAGCCTGTATCCCCTAAGGAGAGGGGCAAGCCTATGTTTACAATTCCTAAGGCTAGCCTGTATCACCTAAGGGGAGGGGCAAGCCCATGTTTACAACTCCTAAGGCTAGCCTGTATCCCTAAGGGGAGGGACAAGCCCATGTTTACAATTCCTAAGGCTAGCCTGTATCACCCAAGGGGAGGGGCAAGCCCATGTTTACAATTTCTAAGGCTAGCCTGTATCCTCTGAGGGGATGAACATACCCACATCTGAAACTCCCAGGGGAGGGGCTAACCTATATTCCCAGATTGAAGGAACAGACTGACGTCTACAATTCCTGGGGGAGATGCTAACCTGTATCCCCTAAGAGGAGGGGCAGCTATTCTGTACCCCCTAAGGGGAGGGAAAATTCACATATACAATTCCTTAGGTTAGCCTGTATCATCTGAGGAGATGGACAAACCCACATCTGAAACCCCTTGGGGAGGGGCTTACCTATATTCCCAGATGGAATGAACAGATACAGGTCTTCAATTATACAATAGGAATAGTTACCGGTTGGTTTAATGTAACTGGTTGGTCCAGGAGGCTAAATGATGTCTTTTTGGTCAAACTTCTTAACAGCAGAGACAAAGTCTGTTTCTTACATTGTTACATTCTTACAGCCTATTACAGACCGATTATGTTTCTAGTTGAGATAAAGGAGTTTGTCTCTGTCAAAATTTGTAGTCAGCCTTCCTGTGGACAAGACAAAGTCTATCACAGACAGGCTGGAGTCTTGTGCTTATAGAGACAGGGGTTGTTACATAGGCAGAGCCCATCATAGCCAAAGTATCCATCTGTCACTGAAAACAGGGTCTGTCTGTTACTGAAAACAGGGTCTTACTTACATAGGCAGAGCCTATCATAGCTAAAGTCTCCGTTTGTTACTGAAAATAGGGTCATAATGGATCTTGTGAATCATTTCTTTTGTTTTACCTTCAGAAGATAATGGAAATGTTGTTTTATAAAACGGAAGTGTGTAACAAGTAGACCTGTGGTTTGTTTTGTTATCTGTGTGAGTAAATTGGTTTTTAAGATTATTTTTATATTTTGTTTAATGGCAGACATGTATGATGGGATTGTGATACGTGTTAAAAAGATATGTAAGAATATAAAAAAAAGTATGGAGTGCTTGAGTTGGGAGTTTTAGCTACAACTGTGTGGATTCAATATTGAGCGTATGAAGAAGAATGTGTCACCGACTGTATTCATGAATGGGTATCAATATCTTCAGATTGTGTCCAAGCCTAATTGTAAATGTATGTGTTTGTGAGTGTCATGGACATTGAAAATATCTGTGCCAAAGGTAGAAAAAGATTGAGATATCACATGTAACAATATCTTGTGAATGAAAGGGAAATATTTGTTAAGTGGATATGTTGTTCAATATAACAACAAATTACAGAAATGACGAGTTAACAGTTGATCCCTAAAAAATTACTTAAATCTTGTGCAAAGTGACAAATTTATGTTATTGTTTTCATTGTTAAATTAACACCTTCATTTGATGGAGGAAATGCACAAAATGTAAGTGAGGATCATCAAAACAAATGGATGTACTAGTTGCAGAGTTGTCATATTGTCAACTGAATGTATAGATATCTACTGAATTGTCAACTAAATGTATAGATATCTACTGAATTGTCAACTAAATGTATAGATATCTACTGAAATGTCAACTAAATGTATAGTTGTCAACTGAAAATAATGTTTACTTAAAGTGTGGATGTCAACAGAATTATCCTATACGTGTATAATTGTCAACTGAATGGTGCATAGTTGTCAATTGAGAGTATAGTTGTCAGCTGTACATATAGTTGTCGACTATATACAATGTGCTATTGTAATCTTGTTGTCAACAGGAAGTTGGGGAAGCTATATTTTAAAAACGACTGTGATATTTACACCTGTTGTGTTTGTTATAAGTGCTGTGTAATTGGTGATGCTGTAAATATTCACATTGACCTGACAATATTGAAATTTAGTCAGTAAGTTTATTGGAATAACTGTCTAGTCTCAGAGGTGTATCATTTGAGAGTAAGTTTATTTCAGTGTGTGTGTGTTGAGATTTGTTTCTTTTAATGAAAGATGCATTGTTTAAAGATCCTAGTTAAATATGAAAACAGCTGTGAGTTTGCTGTCATACTGCAGTCTCGTCTGGTTATAAGTTTGAAGGGGAGGTAACTCTAATGTAATCAGCTGTACACAAACAGATGGTCTGGTTGGTCATTTTGAATTAACATATGTAGCAAAGTACATTTACTTATAAATAATCTTAAAGTCTGTATCTAGTGAAATACTGAGTTGTATTGGTCAACAGCTTCAAACATATTGAAATGCTAACAACTGTAAGTTTAGAACAGCAGAAATAAATAAGATAACCAACCTGTAATATCCTTTATTACTGAAAAATGTATAAAGGTGCTTGAATACATGTATAATAAAACATTTGAAATCTTTCTACTGTTTGTCTAATATATACTGTCTGTAGAATACTGTTTGTCTAATATATATACTGTCTGTAGAATAATATATATCCTTTCTGTAGATTTATTGCCATCTTCAATATATCGGTATAGTTAATTGTTTTCAGGCTTAAACTCCTCTTATTACTGGAGCATCTCGCTGAGGTTATGCCACAGTTTGCTGTGAGCTACACAAACTTGAATTAATTTGTTGCATCATTTACCAGTGTATTACTACGAAACTCTAATTGTGAAATGTATATTTTCACATTACTTAAGAGGTTAAAGGTCACAATACACACCATTGGAGATTTTCACATTACTTAACATGTTAAAGGTCACATTACTCACCGTTGGAGATTTTCACATTTCTTAAGAGGTTAAAGGTCACAATACTCACCATTGGAGATTTTCACATTTCTTAAGAGGTTAAAGGTCACAATGCTCACCATTGGAGAGTTTCACTAATGGACACCATAGGTTGTATGCAATATTGGAGTCAAAGATCACACCAGTATTGATGAGCAAAGGTCAGGCTCTTGAAATCAAAGATCCGACTTTGGGAGATCAAATTTCGTATTATGGAAGAAGGGTAACACTGTTGGAGATAAAATATGGTACTATTGGAGATCAAAAGACACTATAAAATATCCTAGGTCACACAGTTGAAGTCAGAAGGTCACACTTTTGGATATCAAAGTCCTCATTGGAGATCAAAGGTCACAATATTGGAGATCAGAAGTCAAACTAAGTGTCAAAGCTCTGCTGTTGGAGATCAACAGTCCAACTGTAAGACATTATAAGTCTAATCTTGGAGATAAAAGACCCAAACAACTACTGGAGATCTAAGGTCACACTATTATCATGGACAGTCACCATTACAGATCACACTATTGGAGATAATTGGTCAAACTATAATAAACCAATGGTCATAATGTACCAGACGAAAGAGCCTAGCACACAATTATTTGAGATCAAAAGTCACACTATTGCAATTGAAAACTCACAATACTAGAGGTCAAAGGTTACACTAATGGAAATCAAAGGTTCACTATTGGAGGTCAAAGGTCAAACTAAGAGACCTAAGGTGATAATCTTGGCATAGTAGTCCTCAACTCACAACTTAATTAGTGATATACAGTCTGGTGAAAAGTAACCCAACCACACCATCCTATACATATATGGTACACGATCTGTACAGATGGTACACGGGATGGTGAAAGGTTAACCCCGATACAACCCTATTGATCGTACACGGGATGGTGAAAAGTTAACCCCGATACAACCCTATTGTTTGTACACGGGATGGTGAAAGGTTAACCCCGATCCAACCCTATTGTTTGTACACGGGATGGTGAAAGGTTAACCCCGATCCAACCCTATTGTTTGTACACGGGATGGTGAAAGGTTAACCCCGATCCAACCCTATTGTTTGTACACGGGATGGTGAAAGGTTAGCCCCGATACATCCCTATTGATTGTACACGGGATGGTGAAAGGTTTACCCCGATACAACCCTATTGATTGTACACGGGATGGTGAAAGGTTAAACCCGATACAACCCTATTGTTTGTACACGGGATGGTGAAAGGTTAACCCCGATCCAACCCTATTGTTTGTACACGGGATGGTGAAAGGTTAGCCCCGATACAACCCTATTGTTTGTACACGGGATGGTGAAAGGTTAGCCCCGATACAACCCTATTGTTTGTACACGGGATGGTGAAAGGTTAACCCCGATCCAACCCTATTGTTTGTACACGGGATGGTGAAAGGTTAACCCCGATCCAACCCTATTGTTTGTACACGGGATGGTGAAAGGTTAGCCCCGATACAACCCTATTGTTTGTACACGGGATGGTGAAAGGTTAACCCCGATACAACCCTATTGATTGTACACGGGTTGGTGAAAGGTTAACCCCAATACAGCCCCATTGATTGTACACGGGATGGTGAAAGGTTCACCCCGATACAACCCTATCGTTTGTACACGGGATGGGGAAAGGTTAACCCCGATACAGCCCTATTGATTGTACACGGGATGGTGAAAGGTTAACCCCGATACAAGCCTATTGATTGTACACGGGTTGGTGAAAGGTTAACCCCGATACAGCCCCATTGATTGTACACGGGATGGTGAAAGGTTAACCCCGATACAACCCTATTGATGGTACACAATCTAGAGAAAAAATAGTCCTAACACACGAATATCGCACGGTCTGGAAAAAGGTTATCCCAACGCACCCCCTTTTTTATGGGCTAGTCAAATTTTAGGCCAAACCTGCCTTGTTTCTTGATGGGGAGGGATTTGTTCAAAGGAAAGGAACACTCAAAGGCTTGGGTTTCGAGAAGCTCAGAAAACCCCTGGATTCCGCCACTTTCCCCAACCATACAAAAACTTATTGAGCGTACAAAATCTGGTGAAAGCTAACCAGCATTCCATCTTGTAGATGGTACACAATCTGATGAGAGGTTAGACCGTTATATTGAGTGAACAATAAACCACAACCTTACCGACGGTAATGGATCTAGTAAAAACCTAACCTCAACCACAACCTTACCGACGGTAATGGATCTAGTAAAAACCCAACCTCAACCACAACCTTACCGACGGTAATGTATCTAGTAAAAACCTAACCTCAACCACAACCTTACCGACGGTAACGGATCTAGTAAAAACCCGACCTCAACCACAACCTTACCGACGGTAATGGATCTAGTAAAAACCTAACCTCAACCACACCCTTACCGACGGTAATGTATCTAGTAAAAACCCGACCTCAACCACAACTTTACCGACGGTAATGGATCTAGTAAAAACCCAACCTCAACCACAACCTTACCGACGGTAATGGATCTAGTAAAAACCCGACCTCAACCACAACTTTACCGACGGTAATGGATCTAGTAAAAACCCAACCTCATCCACAACCTTACCGACGGTAATGTATCTAGTAAAAACCCAACCTCAACCACAACCTTACCGACGGTAATGGATCTATTATATTGAGAGTACAATCTAATGAAAAAGTAGACCCACGCATGCGTCATCAGATGCAAAATAGCGCACCAGTTTGTCAAAAAGTAAGAATATCTAACGTCAACCGGCCTTTTGTAACGTTGAAAGCGTAAAATTAATTGTGGCTTGTTTGACCGCTTGTAACACGATGGTTACACATTACTGGTGGGTTTTTTTAGACTAAAATCCCAACGGGTTCATGCTCGAGGTCAGGGCTGTTATGTCGGCCATGTGTATTGTTATGCATCCATGTCATAGAGGGATTGGTCTCTCTTCCGTTTTGATGACTTTGATTCCTTGTTTAGTCTCGGTACCCTCGGTGCAATGTTGCCCTAGTCCCTGAAAACTTCCAAGGGTTCGTGAAGAATGATCTAGTTAGCTTATTTGGCACATAGTTCTTGTGAATGGCTATGGGCCTTGTTTAAACTAGTACAAGGGTTGAATGCGAAAGACGAATATAGTTGTAGTCTAGATTAAGCAAAGTGTGGCGGTGTGTCCCTTTAATTGCTAGAGCCGAAAGACAACAATGCGATATAACGAAAAGACGAAATCCCGCCAAAGCAAAAAGACGGAAAAGCGCCAAAGCTAAGCAACGGAATAACGCCAAAAAGGAGGGAGAAAATATGATGGCTTATATATGACATTTTGTCTTTTCGCTTCGGCGCCCGCGAAATAACGCTAAGCGAAAAAAACAGTACTTAAATCGTATGAAAGAATTATTGGATAGTTGTTATCAGCGGCTGCTCGCCAAATATCATCGCCATAGGCATTTCTGTTCTTAAAAGAAGTCATTTGAAGATTTTGACATATTTGAACTCTGTGACATTGAACATGTCAATGTAATTTATATTCACGGATTTTTTTAGGCTCATTCCAAGGAAGATACCAGCCAAATACCATGAGTTCCGTTTACAAAACAGTAGTTTAAGGAATCACAAATTGTATTTGACCCCTGTGACCTTGAATAGAAATCCAGGTGTTTTTTTATTCGCATACATTGTTGCGCTCCATCCCAGGAAGCTACCAGCCTTACATCATAATTGTACGCTTTTCTATTCTCTTGAAGAAGTGGTTTGACATTGTTCACATATTTGACCCCTGTGACCTTTAATATAGCTCAAGGTCATTTTTACTCGTATATTTTGTTTGGCTTTATCTTAGGAAGCTACCAGTCTTATACCACGATTCGAGGCCTTTCCATTCTTCTAAAGAAGCGTTTGAAATATTTGACCCCTTTGACCTTGTATACGGGTCAAGATTATTTTTATTCGCAAACTTAGTTGTGCTCTTTCTAAGAAAACTACCTGCCAAATATCATGATTCTTCGTCCTTCGATTCTTCCGAAAAAGTCGTCTGAATTTTTTGACATATATGACCCCTGTGACCTTGAATAAAAGTCAATGTTATTTCTATCTGCTGTTACCAGCCTAATATCATGATTCTATGGTTTTTCATGTACCTGTTTGTACGAAAGCCTATTGAGGTCATTTTCGCATAATAACGCGAAATAACGTGAAACTAACGCGTAATAACGCGAAACTTTAAAATAAATAAATAAAACGGTTTTACGTTTGCATAGTATCAGTTGAATCATGGATGAGGAAGACTAAATACATGTATTCTTACAATAACATGGTACAAGGTAAAGGGTACGGGGTACAGGGTACAGGGTGCGGGGTTCAGGGTACTAGAATCAGGTACATGGGCATAACTACAATAATTGGTTTCGTGTAAGTTAAATAATCGGCGACAAAGCGTATTATCATAGAAACTGATTTAGTCAATGTCAGTGACAACTTTAAATGTTTTCTTATAAAACTATAAGAGACATGAAGTAGCAAAGCATTCTAAATAAAGGCAACAGAAAAGCCCGATTATGAATTCGATGGCACATTAAAGTATTATGAACACGTGGACCTCCAAACACATTGGAGGTGAGATCGGGTGCTCCGAAAAAGTTTGTAACCCCTGTACCGCATGCGACACACCACCACAAGCTACTACTTGATGAAAACAGTCTCCTGAGCCCTATTATGCAGTTCATTAAGAATGAATACCGCAATATCACATACATCAGAATGTCGTTTCAATATTCTCTTTAATGTCGACTTACTTATAATGATTTTACCTGCTATTGCTAAAACAACTTAAGATTTCATTTCTAGTGTATTACAAATCGCATTAGCAAAGTTTCGCGTTAGTTTCGCGTTATTACGTTTTTTCCTCCTATGCGGAGAATGAGCTCAATAGGCTTCGTAGAAATGCGATAGGCCTAGTACCAAGATAAAAAGAAGACTCATCTTATTATATAATTTATCTCGAATAGGGGTCCATCTTTTATTATTCCAACTGTTCGAGGATTTACGTCTCGCAACAGCTAAGAGCAATCACAAGTAACAGTTAACTGTTAGGCCTAAGCCTCACTTACTCTTAGACATGACAGTGGGGTTTATTCAATCAAGCGCCTTTTACAAAACAAAAACTTGTATCAACGAATAAACAGTTTAAAATACAACATTTATTGAATATTTGGTGATTTATTATGATCATTACCACATTTATAAGATGGTTCCTGTTTCGCGACCAGCCACATTTATAATACGAATTAGTTTTAGTTTCGTATTTGTGGCGGGTAAACGCACTCATTTTCTCGTGCTTGAAATTGAAAACGAGGTTAGACACCATTTTTTTCGTCTGCTTGAGTCGTAGGAAAACATGGTCAAGATAAAGACCGCTACAAATGCAGAAACGCCTCAAAAAGGTGAACGCGGGGCAATATTAACACAAAAGCAGTATGATTTAATCGTTGCATTTCACCGGAATGGCGTAGTGCCTTCACAAATTGAGTTGGAGGATGCGGAAATTGGTGACCCGAATCAATCTGCTTATAACAAGACAGGAAGATTCAAGTCATGGGCAAGAAGGATGTATCTACGATTGTCAGACGATACGCTGATTCACAAAATCACAGGAAAGAAAATATTGCCACAAGAAAAATTTGAGTCGGTTATTTTGGCTGCACACCGTGGAAGTCAAGCCGGAGGTTCAAACAGTTACAATCACCACAGTACTTCAGCTACAATCAGAAAGGTGCACTGCATTTGTTTGTAAAGTAGTGATCTGATACCTATAGCAAATTGTATGATTAAGTAAGGGATAATTCCGGAGAGGCCCCAATGGGTCATTGGCCCCTCAAAACTGAATTTGACCTCTCCATCTTCCAATTTTCTTTTTAATTTTACATAGAATGGCCCCTCTTAGTTTTGATATTGACTAAGAATGGCCCTCTGCACTCAAATTCCAGGATTTTCCCTCTGACCCTGACACCAGACTTGGACATTTTGACAGATAGATGTCTGGTGTGGGTTAGATCTAGGGTTACACCAGACATCTATCTGTCAAAATGTCCAAGTCTGGTGTCGGGGGGCCAGAAGAAGATCGGGTGGAAAAATATTGTGATAAAGTTTTGGTATTGTTTAAAGTGCACAAGTCTACTAAAGGACTACTGTTGGATAAACCATTTCAGCCTCTTAAAAAAATCACTTCATATGAGATATTCATGTGTTTTACAGTTTTGTTCATCTCCTCCCTATATTTTTTCATTATTTTACAGCAGATGTGCTGGGTTTACAAGGTTTTTCTTCCAATGGCATAAACAAATATTTCATGCTATCAACAAACCTCCTTTATTATTAAACTGGACTTTGCATTTCGCTACATGGTGTATTAGGTCATAAATAAAAAGAAGCCTTGCTGAAAAAGATTTGTCCTTGTGTGATGTAAACTACATCAATGGGTGGATTGCAGAAGTGTTCTAGGTATATATTCAGTGGGTTTTTTTTCTTTAGATTTTTTTAAGCCAAAGTTAAGACAGAAAAGGTAAAAAATGTGAAATGTGTTTGTTGGTGGAGGGGTGTGCATGTCTTATTCTTGGGTCAGTTATGATGAGTCCATGATGATGATAATAATTCAAGCATCTAAAGTGAAGTAAGAAAATTGGAATGTGGTTGTTTAGTGTTTATATGAGGAGTGTCGAGACATTATGGTAATTGTATTCCGAGCATTTGCAACTGTCGGTTAAAATTCTGCCTTATATTTTTTAAAGAAAAATGCCCTAAAAAGACTCCCAAAAGCATTGAATTTCATAGTTATATTCCTGTGCAAATCTTGGCATAAGATCACTAGTAGCTTCCTGGATAAAGCCTCACAAAGTTTGTGAAAAATAATTATCTTTACAGGGGTTAAAGAAAAAAAACTCATGACTTAAGATCCGAAAAGCCCAGAGTCATGATATTTGGACTGTAGCTTCTTAGTATGGAATGCTACAAAGATACAGGTCAAACTTGTTGAAACATTTAAATGTCTTATTCAGAAGATCTGAAAGGGCCAAGAGTCATGATATTTTCACCAGTGAGTGGCTGATGTGGTGTGTTACAAACTAACATAGTTGGCAAAAATATATCTTAACAGTCGTAGGGCTAAAATTTGTTGAATACTATACATAGCGTCTGAAGAATTGAAAGGCTTGGGAGTCATGGTGTTTGTCCAGTAGCTTTGCACGGAATGCTTCAAACATTGCAATAAGAAAGTACTTGTAATCAAGGTTGCAGGGGTCAACTTTAAAAATTGAAATAACTTTTGGATAACCTAGAAGTGTAAGGTAATATTGTCTTAGAGAGCAAAACCTTTGGATTTCAAAGACATCAGGGCCCCTACTCATGCTCAAACCCAGATTCTGTGCTCTGGTGGTTAATTGATAAAAACATTAATCCACATTTTCTCAGTGTTTAAGCGAGATGCAAGAGGGGTGCTTTGAGCACAGAATCCATGCTAGAGCACGAGAACAGTTTCATGAATACAGGCCCTGGCTTGCATCATCCTGGGATAAAGTAAAATGATGTTTTTTTTTAAAAATGAATGATCTTGATTAATGTTCAGTGTCATAGGGATAAAATTGAGACCAAGATCACAAAGGTTGCAAGTAAAAATATTTTCCAAAATAACTTAATTGAATAAAGTGCTGCTAACTCTGTTCAAGTGAACATGAACTTGATCCGCTTGCAAGGATGCTAGGGTCAAATGTGTTAAAATCTTGGAAAAAGAACTTACGCCAGAAAATGGTAAATTTATGTTGCTTTATCGGCTATCTCATATCTGCAACAGAGAAAACTTAAAGTAAAAAACAAACTCTGAATTAGAAATCTTCCTAATTATAACTGGTTCAGTGTCAGCAGATACTTTAATTAAAAATATTTTTACAATCCTCTATTTTCTAACCAAGATAATGAGAAATAGCTGTATTTAAATGACATATTACATCTGTTTTAGATGATGAAGAAATATACCTTTGGAAAGAGGAGCTTTGGAATGAGTGAAGAAACTGTCAGAGATGTCTTGATGTCATGTACAACTGGATCATGTGCTCTGAAGAAAAACCCTACAAAAAGGAATAGAGCAAGGAAGAAGATAGGTACATATGCATGCTAGAGAAAGCATGATATCTAAAATATGCTCACTAGTTCTTTCACTTTAAATGATATCCTGTAATGTTTTATTTAAAAGTGTATAGGATATAAGGAAGAAATGACTGACATGAGCTTAACCTGTTAATTAACCCTTTCACCCCTAAGTAACTTCAGTTAACTCTTCCATGCATTGACCTGGATGAGTCCATTATGGTCGATAGTGGTGAAAGGGTTAGGTCAGAAATATAACCATTACATTATTAATTAAGTACTAGGTAAACTTAAATTTCAAAAACATTGTTCATCTCTATGAAGCTGGAATCATTTCAGATGACAGTTTATTGCAAAGGATAGAGGTACACGTAGGGATGTACAGCTTGACTAGCCCAACGCCGTGCTCTTAATATTAAATTGGAAACTATTATACTTCATGCCAAACATACATATCACAAAATGCCAATTTGGAAAAACAAAAACAAACTGGAATAACTATTTTAGAAATGAATTTTTGTTGCAGTTAAAGACATTCAGCATGTATCCGCAAAAGCAAGAGCAATGATTGTAGAGCTGCAAAAGTCGCTACCTGTTGTAAAGCCCAGAATGATTGTTCCTAAAGAAGCTGTTACTGCTCCAAAAACAACTGCCACCATTACCAGGGCTGTGCCTCTCATTACAACATCGGATAGTTGTCTAAAGCCCACATACCCTATGGTCTACACCAATAACATTTTCAACCGATGTCGACCATCAATTACTGCCACCGGAGTGAATCCGGCTACCACAGCATTCCTTCCCCATCCTGGTGTGCCCCCAAACTTCATTGGTGTGCCCCAGTTGTTGCCTGGATTAGGTTCTAAGATGTACTTGGTGCCCCACACTCCAGGGTCCAACTTCATGTCATTGTTGCAGGCTACTGCGCCACAGACTCAGCAGCTGAACCCAGGGGCAAACTTACCAGGCCATGTTATTTCTACAACTGTCTTACAGCCATCTGTTGGACAAGGATACAGTGTTCCTGATCAAGCATTACACACCAAATCAACAAAAAAAGGAAATGTAGGCAAGATGTCGGCCTCAAAATCAAAAACAGATGACCGTGGATCCAAACTTCTGAAATCTTTAGCCAATAAATCAAAGAAAAAGTTTGATGCCCTGAAAAATACCAAGACACCTGAACTTGCCAAAATGTTAGCTTTACCTACTCTTGTGAAGCCTGCTACAAGTGAGGACAACATTGCAAACCAATCAAGTACTCTTCATCTTCCTAAACCTCCCGTTCTACAAGGACCCCTAAACATGATGAAGAGTGTTGTAGAAAACGTGGGATCTGTGGTCCGAAACAGCAGCACATTACATACAGCGACACAGGAAACAGCAGATAAGAAAACTATAACAATCTGTGTCTTTCCATTCCCCGCCAACTCTGTGTCAAGTAATATTACCTCCCAAGCAAGTGCTACAGTTGGATTTCCTGTCTCTATCACCTCTCTATCTAGTGGTAGTGCAAAATCTGCCAAATCAAACATAACTGGTAAATCTTTTACAGGTCAAGTAAGCTATTCTTCACTAGCTAATGTGGACACAACACAATCCATTACAGCCCCAGTCAGTAGTCTCAAAACAGACTGCAAGGAGAACACTGCTAACATTTCCCCACGGAAAGTTCTTTCAGAGTCATCTGCCAATACAAAGAAGAAACTAAAGGCTAAACTTTCTTCTCAGAGACTGTCAAAAGGTCCGAAATCTCCTGTAATAAAGGATAATTTCAAAATTGTTTCCGCAAACACAAGTGAAAATGGTGATGCCACATTGCTAATTCAGAACCCTGACTCGCAAAAATCAATCAAGTTGGACAGGGCAAGATTGCTGCACCTTCTGAAAAAGGAAAAATCTTCAAAAATTAAAGCTTTGCTTCTGAGAACTCTTCGTAGACTGAAGAAAACTACAATCAACCCACTTCGTTCTTGTCTTAACATGACCAACAAGGAAGAAAATATCCCAGAAGAAAATTTTGAATGTAAAAAGGAGTTCGATTCTGGCCAAGAGCTTTCAGCACATGCAAGTCTATTCTCTGAGCTTATCCCAGAAGATGAATGCAGTCAGCAGGCTGAATGGAACCTGAAGTGCATCAGTGTGCTTGGCGAGGCAATAAATATGTATGAACCACCGTTGTGCTCAACCTTTCCTAACCCTCTCGAGAAGATGGAACAATGTCGGGTAGAGATTCCATTCCCAGATTCAGGACCATTACCACAACCCCATATCTGGCACCACTATGAAGGTAAATTGTTTCAAATCTGAGTTCTAGTTTATGTCTCGTGTCCACTCCATTTTAGTAGGGGTGGGGAGGTCAGGCAGATAGTGTTACTCATTACCGACCCATCCTGTCTTGTTGCATTGTGATTTGTTGTCATGACTTGACCAACTTCATTTTTTTTTAAATTGTTATAAAGAGTTTATACAAAATTAATGAATGAATGAATGAGAATTCCTTGCAATAGTTGATCTTTCGGGGGCCAAACACTCATGCCAAAATCAGTTACTATTTTACAAGTCAGCTTTTTATCAAAATTTATATAACGATCATTTAACCAAGTCTAATTGAGCTGTTTTCAGTCCCTAAAATTTTGTTTGGCATATTGCTTACACTCCATATAAATGCCTCAACCTTCTTAAAGTCAACATCTATGTAATGATCTGACATTACACAAAAAAACTTCATCCAAACATTTACCTATCTCTTGCACAGTAAGTTTAACAAAAGTCCAGTTTGAAAGCTATTTTTGGCCCTTAAAATATGAAAAAATGGTTCACCTGAACCTTATAATAATCAATAGCCTCTTGACTGTGGTGATCCATATACACTGTCTGAATATTAAAGTGGAAAACAAACTCTCAAAAACTTTAACCCAAGATGGGCTGCTGATGCAGACACGGAGGTGAATACACTCACCCTCATTCTTCAAAAAGGCAAGCTAAGAATTAAGGTTTACATGCAGGAGAAAATTAAATTAGTGGAAACCTATTCTTGAAATGTGGAAATGCTGAAAGCCTTATTGCCTAATTGCTTATTGTTTGGGTCAGATATCTTGAGTCAACGACATTGCTTCAAACGCCTGCTGCCTGTGTTTAAAGACATGAAGCTTGACATCATGAGAAGTGCAATGAAGGATCAATCTGCTGTAGAACGTCTAAAGAAAAGTGTGTCATTGTTTTTACCTTGTATTGTAATACACAACATCTAGAAATTTCCAGAAACAGTTAAGAACTTGCATTATATTTTGTTTCTAACACTGTCAAATACCTTGGGTTTATTTTTATCATGCTATAAATTAATGCAAAGTGCGTGATTTTGCTGACATTAGCAATTCAATTCTACACTTGAACACTTGAAAAAATTACCTATTTTCTGTTCCACACATAGATATTGCTAGCATGTTATCAGCATAAATATTTCTGTTTCAGAAATTACCTATGGAGAAAGCTTGATCAATCGGTTCAGGGAATACCTCGGTGGGTTTGAGGATTGAGGACTGAAATAAGCAATCTTCTCATCGATGGTGCAACATGTCTACATCATCAAGTATAGACACTGGAATAAGCAACATTTTTATTTGTGGTCGCTCCATGTCTTCATCATGTGGTATGAGGACTTGAAGAAGCAATGTTCCCATCAATGATCACTACGCCATCATGTTTATACAATTTGGTATTGACACTGGAATAATGGAAATCCCCTGTGGTGGTCACTTCTGCATGTCTATATCATTGAATATATATGAGGAATCTTCTCATTTGTGGTCGCTACAAATCTACGTCATTTAGTACAAAGACCAGAATAAGCAATATCTTTTATCAGTTGTTGTTACAAGAACCAGAATAAGCAATATCTTTTATCAGTTGTTGTTACAAGGACCAGAATAAGCAATATCTTTTATCAGTTGTTGTTACATGGACCAGAATAAGCAATATCTTTTATCAGTTGTTGTTTAATACATGGACCAGAATAAGCAATGTCTTTTATCAGTTGTTGTTACATAGACCAGAATAAGCAATATCTTTTATCAGTTGTTGTTACATGGACCAGAATAAGCAATATCTTTTATCAGTTACTGTTACATGCTTCATATTTAAGGTAATGGTTTTCTATTGATTCTGATCTTTATTTTGAAGTTGGAAAAAATAAGTTTATTTCAAAGTTGACTTGAGAAGTAAAGAATGTGTTAATGTGTAAAAAAAAAATGAAAACATGACCATATTGATGTTCATAATATATGATACATTACAATGACATGTATATATCCTTTTCCACACTAAAGAAACCGGTGGAGTATTTTTGAAAATGGATTATATATTGATGAAACAATAGGGGTCCACAAGCGCGCATACATGTACTTCAGTAAAAAACATGGTTATTCTAAACTATCATTGTGCTAATTGAAAAAATAATAATTGAGAGAAACCGGTCTAAAATATGGATTGTTAATGTGTGACCTTTCAGCCAAAACTTGACTTCAAGATTTGTTTTTATACACTTGTTTAAATTTTTGACAGGATGTGTTATGGTAGGGGATCGATCTGTCAATCATTCCGTACATGCATCTGGATTAGAATTGCTCAGTCCATATCTGGGTGAATGTGGGTGTTACATCAGTTAGTTTCAGCTAGGGTTGCTCTGCTGACTGATGTGGTGGATGCAGAATCTGACCTTCATTTAATGCTTCATTGACTTAGTTGAAATATGAAATGATCTAATCAAAATATCTGGTTTAGAAAATGTTCCTGCAAGTGCTGCATTGATTACATTTGCATCAGTGATGCAGCTCACTGATGCTAGGGTTATGCTACTGAATGCATTTCGCAGATGCCAAATTGCACTTCAGTGACTTGGTTAGTACGAAAGGGTTAAATCCATATACATGTAACGGGTTAAGAAGACTTTTTCTTCAAAATTTTTACAAATGCTACATGGAATAATGCTTGCATGAATTATGTAACTAGGGCTGCTCTTTATATGGTTGCATGTTTGAGATGCTGAATTTGTCCTACATTTTATGGTGCTCTTATACCATTTGCTATATAGTGAAGTAGACTACTGTAAATTGAACTGGGCATCTCTGATCTCATCATGATTTATCTTCTAAGAGAGGGATATTGATTACATTTAATTATCCCCCACTGATTTTTCTACTTTCTTTCCACAGGGGCCTGTGCGTGTTGATTTGGGGAAATATCACCCACAAAAAATATGTGATTTTTTCATTGATTTTGGGGGGGAAACGGCACAAATTATCTGGGGGAAGGGGCCTTTATAAGGCCCCAAATTAACCTTAAAAAGAATTTGGGTTTGTCCGTCTGTCATGCTTCGTTACTGTGGAATAACTACAACAAATGTTAACCGATTTTCTTCAAACTTGCTAACAAGGTTAAATGCCTTAAGGGCTCTACCAAGTTTGATGACCACTTTCAGCTGACTTTATTTGGCGGAGTTATGGCCCCTTGAATAATGAAAAACATCATTATCTGCCGTTTCCATGCAATAACTGCAACAAATGGTAACCAATTTTCTTCAAACTTGGTACAAGGATTAAATGCCTTTAGGGCTCGGTGGAGTTATGGAAAAAGAAAAACGTCATTATCTGCCGTTTCTGTTCATTAACTCTCGCAAATATTATCTGATTGACTTCAAACTTAGTAACAGGGTTCAACGTATTAAGGGCTAGGCCAAGCTTGACAACCAAACCAACAAAAAACATCATTATCTGCAGTTTCCGCTCAATAACTCTAGCAAATATTAGCCAAATTCCTTCAAACTTGATAACAATGTTTGTGTTCCTCGGTCTTTCCACCCATCTTGGGCACTCTTTGATTTTTGTCTGATAATTGCTGTAGATATTGTGCAGATATTTCAACCAATTTCCGTATGCACATCCTACTCATGCTAAGTTTGCCAACCCATGTGATTTGTACATATTTAGGGATGATTAATGAGGTATACGGCTTTTTTTTCTTCTAAGTTTCAAGCTTTACATTATGCCTCAACACCCCTATACTCACATGTTTAAATCTAATCTCAATAATGTTAACCTACAATATGTCCTGCAAGCTGAGGATATAAACTCCACGAATTTGCTTGTTTAGTTTTATATGCTTTTAAAGAAGAGTTCAAATCAGGGATGGTTTGAATGGTGTTGTATATTATGTTTATTAGCTCATTTGGCCCAAACGGCAAATTCAACTTTTTAATTCAAATGACTTCCTGATAACCGTGAGGCCCTGGGTGATGACATTTTGTCAGTAGCATGCTTGGCCGAAGGCCTATCAAGTTTGTTCGAATGAGTATTCAAGGTCACAATGAATAACCAAAAGGCCTTGCATGATGATTTTGGCAAGTAGCATAGGGATAAAGGGCCATCAAGTTTGTTCAAATAAATGACCTTTACTCATATTCAGGGTCACGAGTATACAATGTATCATAAAAACATTTGAACGACTTCTTGAAATAACCAAAATGTCTAGGGTGCTGATGTTTGGCCAATTACAGGCTAGGATGAAGAGCTAGCCTTTTTAAATGAATAACCTTGACCCACTTTATAAATAAAGTGATTGGGTGATGATATATGGCCTGTAGCATGCTTGGGTGTAGGGCTACCCAGTTCAAATAAACGACTTTGACCCACTTTTAAGATCACGGGGAACTAACAAGTATAACTTTAAATGACCTGTTTTCAATAACCACAAGGCCTAGGTTGATGATATTTACCCAGTTCAGGCTGGGAAAGGCTTCGTCTTTGTCACACTTTCAAGGTCACAGGGGCCAAATATGTTACAAACCTTCAAACAACTTCTGAATAACAGGTTCTTTTGAATGACCAGGAACCATAGCATATGTTATTGAACCTGAAGTTTTATTTAGTCCATATAAATGTATTTGCCCTTGGTCCACTTTTAAAGTTACAAGTGCGAGAGATTAATACCCAGTGAGTGATGCAGGCCCATTGGGCCTCTTGTTTAAAGAACGAGTCCAACTTTGGGAAGATTTGATTGATGTTGTATTTTATAATTTCACATTATAAATTCGTTGTTAGTTATGCTTTTGTTATGATTAATCAAGAGATTATGTAGTCACCATTGTTGAATGCTGGTTAGTTTTGTTTGTTAATTTTTGACTTGAAATAATGATGTTCTAATAGAAATATTTTGTGATTACTTGCATCAGATTTCTTTTGTTCTTCTATTCATTCCATTTCAACAATTTTTCATGTGGTTAATGATCAAGAGTATAATTGATATGAAAGTGATTTTCACAAAGGTGCAGTGGTGTACAGTTCCTTATTTCGGCCACTGGCGTTTTGTTTAATATCCACTTCTCAATATTTTTTACATGGGGAAAAAGTCATTCGATAACATAATATAGAATATTGTGCATCATTTCATGGTCTACGATGGAGACATTTATAGTATTCACTTGAGTCTTGTTATGTACTTGATTATCCTGTCCATTTTGCATGGGTTTCTTGGTGACCTTAGCTAATGTAAAAACAAAACAAAACAGCTTGGAGTTTAAGCTACATATTTTATTCCGTCTTTTCGTATTGCAGAGTTATCTGCTCTTGTGAGCAGGTATTGATTGTTTCATCATTTGTTAGTGAGAGTAACGTCATCAATATTTGAGAAAACAACGTTATTTTCTCACACAAACCAATGACGTAATAACAATCAATACCTGCTCACAAGAGAAGATAACTCTGCAATACGCAAAGACGGAATATAGATGTATTTGATAAAGACAAGTACAAAATGTAAACAAGATTTTCTATGAAATGTACAAATATAATTTGTGCTTTTGTTCTTAAAAGATTGTCTGGACTTGTACCGAAACAAATACAATTTAATTGTGAAAATATGGATTTAAGTGTGTACTACCAAATTCAACAGAACTGCTCAGAATTATTTCTTTGATTTTGTTATAAAGTAAACGTTTCACAATTAATCAAAAGAATGTGTTGGTCATACTTCATAATAATAATATATTACATTATGTCTTGTGATCACAACCCAATGTGATGCACATACTCGGATTACTATAAATTATGTTGACGGTGACAAATTCGAAGTTTATGAGGTTTCACTTGCAAGTACTTTAATATTCCCTGTACTTGATGTAAAATTGAAGGTATTGGAATTTTAAAAACTCTTTGGTAACTGTCAAATTTGATTTTTGAAATCCACCTTAAAATATTTCCGATGCGATAATTTTTGTTTGGAGAAAATTGTGATTCTTCATGGTAACATGCTACTATATAGCCAAAATAATTTCTTATGTAAAATCTAAAAACAACCTATCTTAAGTAGAAGAGAGATGAGCTGGGGCTATATGTATCGCTGTGTTAAAAACACAATTGTTTGAATAACTAATTTGTTAATGAGGTCATACAGAATAGGAAAATTCAGAGACCTAGGAATCTCTGAACACATACACATACCCAGGTATACAGGTATTTGATCTAACAATAACAAAGATTCACATTATCATAATTTAATTGTTCTGAACTGTACACACAATAACACTAGGCTTCATTCAAAACTGTTTACACACTAAACATGGAAGGCCCATAGGGCCTGTATTGCTAGCTTGGCCAGGTATTTGTTTTGCAAACATTTTCAAATCAATAAGTTGTTTTTTAACCAATTTCATTGATAAAACAATAAGTTAGCGTGTTCAAACGGGTCAGTACAACATTTCACCAATACCGCATTGCAAATATACAACAGCAGAAGATTAATATTTCTCGTTGATATTGAAGTGACTCATTTTATTGACGTAGATAACTAGAAAATGAAACATGGCACAGATGATCGAAGGACTTTGTAGTACAGCATGATCTCACTTGACCTTTCAGGCACATACTTCTATCTATCACACTAGAACAAAAATGTTCAAGACAAGGCATTTCAGTTTCTGACTTGGTAGAATTTTGCAATTAGCTCTATTTTCATCGAAGTGGAGCATACATATACTAACATTCTCTAGTTTCAAATATTTATTCTTCTGTGTCATGTGGAAGGGGTATAAAGCTGTAGAATCAATGACCTAGCAAAGTTAATTACAACTGAAATACCAGTAACTGAAATCTCATCCTCGATACCCAGGGGTTACGCTCGCTTTCGCTCTCTACACCCCTGGAATATGTCATAGCAAAATTGAAGGCTCAGTGTGCGCCACCTTGTTGATGAGATGAGAAGTCTAGTTCGATCCTTTGATATACATCAAAACAATCTCGCAGTCACGTAACCGTAAACATTGACAGGCTTTGAAGTCGGGCATCTCTCCTTTGTAATCTTCAAAGGACAGGTATCAGCCTATCGATTGGTCCTCTTTTTTTTTTTACCCGAGACCAATTAAACAGCTATCTTTGTGCCTTCAATTTTCAGGGGTTAAGAGAGCGAATGTCAGCATTACCACTGGATATCGAGGATGCTGAAATCTGGACATTCCAAAAACCCATACAGTTAATTTAATTACCTCTTACCCCTTGCATACAACTAAATCATTTACACAATATTAAATATACTTTTTTTCACATTAAGTTCCTGTCAGTTAGTATTTTGCAATTAAAATTCAGGCTATTTGTGAAATTATTAATACACTCAACACTTCAATATAATGTCCTCGTTTCATTCGATACTTCACCATACCAATATTTACGGACGATATTTTCTCAATTATAAGGATTGAAAACAATTCTGGGATCACTTCCAGATAAATATCACAAAAAGATTGGAATATTTGCTAGCAATGTTGAAAAATACATCAATTTCAAACATTCTCACTTCTTGTGTCTATAGGCTTATGATTCTTGACACAGTCTGAGCTAGGCCTAATAGAGCATTTGTCACAACCATTCAATAGATACTGTCAAATCAGATCTTAAAAGCTTAACACTTTTCTGGCATCGTCAATGAAACAACTGAGGTTTAAAATAACATAAGCTTATATATAAATGATCATCCCTCCTCTTTGAGCTTGAGAACAAACACAGCGTCTTGTAGCATGTAAAATGACTGGTGCATGTCTCCTTCACACAAATAGGGAAGTCTGGAGAACTTCTCCACCTCAAACCCAGCAGGCTCAAACACACTCTCTACGAAGCTTTTACACTGGTCTTCAAAGGTCTTTCCTTGTATCATTATATTTTCTGTAGGTTTGTGGTCAGTTGTACCTGATAGAGAAAAAATAATGTAACAGGGTAATGTGATATGTATATTTTTTACAATAATCTCACCGGAATGCAATTTTCATCTTTTAAAAACATGAGCTGATTGAAGTTTCTGTACTAAGTTTCCTACTGCATGAATTTTAGGTGTGCCAATTTGTACATATTGTTGGTGTGCCAATTTTAGTGCTTTTAGTGAGAAAAGTGTTTTGGCTTGAGTTATCGCGTAAACAAGTGTGAACAGCGTTGCTATGTCAAGTGTGATATGCCAAAACGCAGAAAGTTGACAGAAAAACTCATAATATATGTTAAAAATTATTGCTTCAAGCAATACCGTACAAAATTTGAAAGGAATTGATAAAAAAATAAAAAATAAAGTTCTTGCATTTATGACACAATGCCCTTATTTGGCAATAGAAGGGGCATAACTCCACAAAAAATGCACTTCAACTTTTGAAATACGAACTCGTTTTAGCTATATTGGAATGCAATATGTGTACCAAGATTGACTCTTGTCAACTCAAGGGAACTCAAGTTATTGCACGGAAACCTTGTTTCTTGACGACGCCAGCAACGCCGCCGACAAAGTAATACCTATATGTTGCCTCGCGTTGCAGGCGACACACAAACCATTGTTTTTGATAAAGTCACTAAAGTACCAATAACTGTTGGATCCACTGTTTACTACACAATTCACAAATGTCATAGAAAAAATTATCACAATCAGAGTTTAAAATGCAACACCTGTAGTGAACTCAAGTAGATCCTGTCTTTAGAGACCACTCCTTCTGATAATATTCCATTAAATTCCTTGTTTACCTTGGTCAGTAGCTTTCACATATTATTTATGGTAACTCAAGTGCTTATAAACATAAACTTTATCATATTTCTGGGATTTCTTTAATTTGAAAAACTGATAGAAATCGTATCCTGGAGCTCCTTTTTGTACGTGTTTATACAATACGGTGTAATATCACAATAGAAAAAGATGTCAGATAGGATTATGACATCAGGGGCTCAAACAAACTGAACAAAACAGCGTAGTTGTACGAGAATTATTTTCTCTCAAGACAACACCAGTTAAGTTTTAGTAATGAATCTGTGACAACAAAACAAGTTTTTCTAAAAGGGGTCTTTCATTTAACTGATCCTCCAGACAGGTTTTACTTTATTACAAGTGTTTTGAAAGAAACCTTTTAAAACATGTATACACACATACCCTGTTCTACATAAGGACGGAAGGGAAGTACCACTGCTACAATGGCTCGCCCAGATGGGGTGAGTGACTTTCTGATTGTGTGGAGGATTGTAATAGGCTTATCACATCTGTCTAATAAGTTGAGACAGCCAATCAAATCATACTTCATACTGCCATCTCCCCATTGGTCAATCTCAAGTACTCTTGAAATAAAAGTGATCAACAAATTATTACAATCATGTTTGTCAATTTATGCTAAATTAAATATGCATTCATCAAATCATTGCTATATTGGTGGAACAATTTTCTTCCCAAATCCCATTAACAAATACGAATTTGGGAATATCCAGACTGAAATGATATTTTACAGTTAAATAGAAAGCGTACTCATCCAGTTTGACAAAAGACTTGGGCAAAATATGTCTAGAATGATGAAACTTCTTTGCTTTTGATGAATTAACTACAGTGAAACTGTTACCCAGAGATAATATATTTTATCACATAATGTACTGTGTTATCCAGTGAATATACCCATGTCATATTTTTTTGCGTATTAACCAATGTAATATGACCTATGAGCCCTGTGATTGGTTGTAAGTTTCAATTGTTTCAATTGTGACGTCGTGCCTAGGACAAGTCTATGATGTCGCAGACTTGCGCACTGGCGTCAAAATGGCGGCTTTTTACACGAATAAATGCCACAACTCTTGATTATGTGATAAAAAGGATCTTATACTCGTTTTCATTTCTTATGAAATTTATGAAACTCTTCACGAATGTTTCATTTTAGCTTGCCAGAGTCTTGCTCAATTGAAAAATTCTTAGACTCGTTTCATAAATCTTGTATGAAATGGAAACTTATGTAAGATCCTATATATCCTTGTGTGACCTCTATATTGTAACAGTTGTTGCACAGACTTGACAACCTGACACCCTACTAGTGAAAGGGAAGTATGAAAGAAAGTCAATTTCTAAATACAGTGGAATCTGTCTAACCTGAAGGATTTCCAAGATTTATATTGTTTCAGAATAAGACGGGACATCAGATTTCATAGGCAAACCATTTCCCCATTATACTGGTCAAGACAGACAACACCGTCAAACTCAGAACTAACAATAGGGTATGGTTAAGACAGTTTACACTAACTCTGGTCTAACAATGTTCCATTATTTGTATATTACAGGTACAATATGTTGACATTACAATTTTTAAGATTTCTCATCAGTCATATTGTGATTTTAAATTCTCTGTCACTTTCATGAAATGAACAGTATGACTGACCTACATGGATATATTTCTGTTTGTCTCTCGATAAACCTAGCCCGAGTTTCCTCTGGCCCTGACACCAGACTTTTAGACATTTTGACAGATAGATGTCTGGTATGGGACACCTATCTGTCAAAATGTCTAAAAGTCTGGTGTCAGGGCCAAAGGAAACTCAGGCTACCGATAAACCATAAGGCATGCACACAAGCAGATCTAGTCTTGAAATATTTACGTGTAACCCTTGTTCTGAAGGCGCCACCTCATAGGTGTTGATACTTCTGTTGCATATACTGTCTCGAAATACTTGGCCATTTTGTCTGTCACCAGACCATCGCCTGCCCCTGTAAAGGAAAGAACACCGACACAGCTGGTTTTGTGAAATGGTGTCAACCATTAAAGTTTGACAAAAGACGATCTATGGAATTCCTTATTATCAAATAGGAGGGGCAATACACATTACATGATAAATATAATTTAATGCAATAAGTGACAGGTGCCCTGGAACCTTTAAATCAGGTCAGCTATTGTACATGATAATCACCTACAGAATTGTGATAGTGAGCTTCTGATCATATAATTCCATAGTAGTCAAGGTGTTCTCGTCAAAGAACTCTGGAAGGTTTTTTTGTTAATGGCCGAGATATTTCTAAAGGGTTCTAGTACTAAAATGTTGCTGCTTTAGTTGAATTTTAAACTAAAAAAAATACAAATGATTGATTGAGGACATACTTTCATGTAATAACTCTCATTTCCTAAATGTTTGGATCATTTCAATTATACCTAAAACAAAATCAAACATCAACCATTATCATATCACAAAAGCATGTTCATTTGAAAGAATCCACTGAGTTTATGAACTACATTTTACAGTTGGTATACCTAGGTCTATCATACTGCGGCCTCGGTACGAATCGTCAATCTGTAGGAGCTGCTGAAGCTGGGAATCGGAGAAGACAAACATTGAGCCTCGCTGTAACAACCTGTAAATATAACAACAAAAAATCAGACTTCTTAGAAGACTGTGAAGGCAGATGTCTTGTTAGGTTACATCATTTCTATTTTAGAACTAATTATTTTTTACTTATTGTCCATTACTTCTTGAATATCACAATGAAAGTACTTAGAGTGAACGTAGTGCTTTATACATTAAAATTTAACAGGTAATCATATTTTAGTGCTTTTCATGCTAATTCCAAAGTGATAAAGTATGATAGCCATTACATAATAAAATCACTATTTTATGCTTTTCAATGCTTATTCCAAAATGATAAAGTATGATAACTTTTAAAAAATATAATAAAAGAGCCATTTTATAGAGAGCGACGTGCTAAATCATGATGCATGTTACTTGAAAATGTTAATGATATGTGGAAATGTGCGAGTATAATGCAGTGTTTCATAATTTATAATAACCACTCAATTTCATTTCCTTAACCTAATGCAGCTACTAAATGCTAAGTTTGTATTGAATTTAGCATTTGTTATTCATACCAAACTGATGAATCTTATTCTGAATAATGCAGTTATTGTTACCATGATCAATTGAAAACCTTGTACCAATACTTCATATGAAAATATGTTTTTAACCTTTTGTGAATTTTTGAGAGCAGTGAATCTTGCTAGGTTCTGATTTAATTCACAGACAATACAGGTATGAATCAGTCTTTTGGCAACAGAGATTGCAGTTACATAAACAGCAACAGTATGTATTTGACAACATTCATCAATTCTTTCAAATATATGTAGTTTCATGCTTCCCTGCAACCAAATGATCACTTCTGTCATCAATGAATTCTTTTTACAACCAAATACGGTTCTTAGGAGACTTTCCAGCAACCAGGAAATATATCAGCAATTTTATAAGTTCCTTGTTAATCAGGAAAAACATTTCTTTAACAAATGAATCACCAAGCACGAGGCTACTAGCTGTTACCTCGATGACAACTTGAAGTACTCCACTGCGATGAAGAAGAACCAAGTAACCTTACCCATTTACCGAGGTTCCTGTCATGAACCAGCTGAGTAGGGACTTGGAGAGGGAGTGGCTTATTTGAGTAAATATCCAATCAGCTTTCTCGTAACAGTTGTCAAGAAAATTGCTGGTGTCTTCATCTTGGTAGAACTGTATCGCCTTTTTACACAAATCTTCAGGTAACTCTGTAGTGTTGATAGCATACCACTGGAAGGCAATTGAATAACATTAATTTGAAGATATTGGAATATAATGCTGGTACACCAGCAATGGTAGGGATCCGTGTGATGAGGACTTCTATCAGCTAAATCAGAATGCCGAGTAGTTTGTCAACACATACTTGTTAGATTGATGTACTGCTATGACTGATATCTTGTTTAAGTAATTGTTTATATATTGCTGAACATGTTTAGTAATGTGCATTATAAGGAGATTCCTGTCCCACCTTTAAAACTGTTATTTTCCCCAATATTCAGTAGCCTCCCTTTAACTTCTGTTTGTTTATAACTGTAGCCCGGCTGCACCACGGCGCTTCCACGGCGCTTCCGTTGACTAGGAAGCTCAATCAGATAGAGTGATAGTATATCAATCTAAAGTCAAGTGTTCGAATTCCCGTCTAGCTCCAATGAATTTTTACACCGAGAACTCTGTTGTTGATTGTAGTTTGTTTATTTCATCTTTATTATTTCTAATAAAAAGGGGATCCTTAAGGGGGGCAATGTCTATTTAAGACTGGCTCACAATTTACAGGTGTTCTAAAAAAGAAGTCTAATACTGGATAGTACATTTACATCCTGTTGAATAATATTAATGTAACAGGAAAGAGAAAAGTGTGCTTCCACCGGGGATCGAACCCTCGATCTCCAGGTTCCTAGTCGGACACTCTACCATTGAGCTAAAGGGAAATTCCCTCCAGCTCGAAGCTAGAAGGTGACCTTAATCCTATGTACAATTAAAACCTGCTGCACTACTCCCCCCCTTTTTTTTAATGTGTTCGCCCTTGAACACCACAACCCAGGTTCTAACTCCCTGTCACCACAGGGAGTACCACAGACCTATTGTAACAGGAAAGAGAATAGGGTGCTTTCACCGGGGATCGAACCATCAATCTCCTGGTTACTAGTCGTACGCTCTTAATACCTCTGAACTAAAGGGAAATTCCCTCTAGCTCGAAGCTATAAGGTGACCTTAATCCTATGTACAATTAAAACCTGCCACATTAGAATAACCAAATTATTAATTTTACTGAAATCCTATTGGAGACTTAGTAACCACCAACCACTGATTATATTGTATTATCTGCCTAATAAAAAACACTCTTTGATTCTGTTGTAACCTGTCTAAACAGACCATCCACTAGTTTAACTGTGTTATCTGTCAAAGGAGACAACCCACTGAGTTTACTGAATTACTTGTTTAATATTGCCACTCACTGAATACTGTACTACATTAGAAAATAATACTGAAATGACTTGTGATTGCTCCGAGATCATACATTACCTATCTTAAGAGATGTATTGTACCCGTCGTGTGAGACAGGCCACTCATCGATTCCACTATATCCCTGTCTAAGGAGAACGCCCATTGATTCTACTGCAGAACCTATCAAAGAAGATTACTCAGAGATTCTGTTTGACTTACTTTGTATAAAAGTTTAGAGTTACTTCCCCTACACCACTGCGAAACGTCAATAACAATGTCAAACTGAGATACTGTTTTTTAATACTAATTCAGGCTTGTGAAATTAATCTAAACACAGAATAATAAATATAAGTTTTATAGTTGCGTATTGTCAATTGATATCAATTACCGACAATTAACACACAACATTAACATACACGTGTCACTAACATATTCGTGCTGGTCATTCTGATGTCTTTGGTCCTCTTGGAGTCTGTTGTACACAGCCCTCAGCATGGGGCTCCGTAAGTGCCGGGCAGGGGTGAAACCCTCTTCAGCCATGCCAGGCACTAAGGGGAAACACACATGGAGGAATGACAGGAAGAGGATCAGCCCCACCATCCACGTGTAGCTGGAATGTTTGTGTACGTCGGGTACTGATATAATACTTCCGTTTCAATAAATGTACAAGAGTTACTGCCCTTTGTACCATGTTGCAACTCTGTTGATTTTTTTGTCTTCAAATGTATATATGAAATATATTGAAAGGACCTTATATCTCTTGTACACACTATCGTAAAAATCAATTAATTGAATTGCTATTTCTGTTTCTGTTTTTTCGTTGAAAGCAACGATTATCCCGTTACTATTGTACCGGAAATGATTATCCTCAAGAATAACGGTTCACTTCCGGGTTTCTGGTTCAGAGAAAGTCCTACAATTTAGGTACAGTAGGACCTATAACTATTGGTTTATGTTATTTTGCTTAAATATTCGACTTGGCCTTGGGCAGCCTGGGCATAACAACGTGCTCATTGTTCAACAATTAACGTAGCTAGGTATGTCAGAATAATTATATTTATTTAATCAATTTTCCTTGAAATAATCTAATTTCTTGTGTATGATTCATTACTGGTGTACTATTCTATCAAAATTATTAATTTAATTAGGTTTAAGAGAACAATGTCGTACGGGTTTTCATAAGTTTTGACAGCCGAAATTTCACTGTGTAACCAATATCATAATTAGTACGTGGATAGCATTAACTCAATTATCAGGATACATACAAGTCATGATTATTGCTTATATAATAATCATGTGTTGTTCATTCATCACCACAAAACACCACATATATAATAATCATCAGAGCACTACCTTAAATCACACTTTTCACACCACCTCCTCATCTATATCACAATCCATACAGCGCCAAAAAGAAAACTGATATCACACAGCATAATCTACAATACAATCCACACATCATCACCTATCTCAATTCACACACTGTCACCGATATCTTAATCCACATACCGACGCTTATATCATAATCCACACACCTCTACATAAACATTTATCTCAGTCCACCAAGCGCCACCTATATACCTATATTATAGTTTTCACACAACTTCACATATACAATTGTCACAATTCATCAACACAGCGCCACGTATATCACAATCCACTCAACTCCACATATATCACAATCCACACAACTCCACATATATCACAATTCCACCCAACTCCACATATATCACAATCCACCCAACTCCACATATATGACAATCCACCCAACTCCCCATACATCACAATCCTCCCAACGCCACATATATCACAATCCAGACAGCCCCGCATATACAATTGTCAAAATTCATCAACACAGCGCCAGGTATATCACAATCCACTCAACTCCACATATAACACAATCCACCCAACTCCACACTTATCATAATCCACCCAACTCCACATACAGGGCGATCCACCCAACTCCACGAATATCACAATCAACCCAACTCCACATTTATCATAATCCTCCCAACTCCACGTATATTACAATCCACCCAACTCCACGTATATCACAATCTACCCAACTCCACGTATATCACAATCCACCCAACTCCACATACATCACAATCCACCCAACTCCACGTATATCACAATCAACCCAACTACACATTTATCACAATCCACCCAACTCCACATTTATCATAATCCACCCAACTCCACATTTATCACAATCCACCCAACTCCACATTTATCACAATCCACCCAACCCCACATTTATCACAATCCACCCAACTCCACATTTATCACAATCCACCCAACGCCACATATATCACAATCCACCCAACTCCACATATATCACAATCCACCCAACTCCTCATATATCACAATCCAGACAGCCCAGCATATACAATTGTCACAATTCATCAACACAGCGCCACGTATATCACAATCTACCCAACTCCACGTATATCACAATCCTCCCAACTCCACGTATATCACAATCCACCAAACTCCACATATATCACAATCCACACAACTCCACATTTATCGCAATCCACCCAACTCCACATATATCACAATCCATCTAACTCCACATATATCACAATCCACACAGAGCCGCCTATATCACAGTTCAAACAGTGCCACCTTCAAACAAAAACTTCCTGGATGAAAATCCTCACAGCAATACCTATTTTTCATAATAAACACAGCCCCATCTATATCACATTTCAAATAACATCACATATACCTTAAAACACACGGCGCCATCTATATCACACTCCACACAACACCATCATAATCCACATGCTATCATCTTTATCACATTCCACATACTACCATATTTATCACCAACCACACACTACCATCTTTATCACAATCCACATACTACCATCTATATCACAATCCACATACTACCATCTATATCACAATCCACATACTACCATTTGTATCACAATCCACACACTACCATCTATATCACCATCCACACACTACCATATATATCACAGTCCACATGCTACCATCTTTATCACAATCCACATACTTTCACCATTACCACAATCCACATACTGCCATCTTTATCACAATCCACATACTTTCACCATTACCACAATCCACATACTACCATCTTTATCACAATCCACATTATACCATCTTTATCACAATCCACATGCTACCATCTTTATCACAATCCACATACTTTCACCATTGCCACAATCCACATAGCATCGACCGCTGCATGACACTATCCAAAAAGCTACCAACTACACAAATAATCGAAAGGAATTTCGACGTAATGTATTTTCAACATAAACTTTGACCTTCATAAGACTTCCTAAACGTTTTCCTGTATGATTTGATAATTTAGACGTTTTTTCGTCTCTTTTGTGAATATATCGAACTTTGATGAACAAAAATGATAATGATTTACACACTTATAGGGTGATTATTCAATTAGAACATCAAAGAGGTGATAATGATACACGCACGATGAAAATTATCTCGACAATCTTTGAGATAAATGACTTATTAGTTTGTAATTACACCAGTGGCATATATAACCCATACTTTGACTAGTACACGTGAACTAAACTGGGACGAAGAACAAACGGATTCCGTACAATTAGCGAGAGTAAATCAGGTATTTTAATTAGACGAGAATAAAAACCAATAAAGTGTTTAAAATTGATTTAGAAATACGGAGGAAAGGAATTATAAGTTCATTTAATGTTGTAATTAATTAATAGAACTTGTTTTTGTAAGAGAAATTACAAAGAGTGCAAGAATAATCCAGTTTGTCAGATTCTGTCCTCTTTAACATGTATGAAGATTTTCTCTCCCGAAAAAAATGTATGAAATATAGGAAACATCTAGATAGACGGATCAACATCACTCAAACCAGAATTGATACAGTCGGTCATATTTTTAAGGTTCGGATAACAAAGGTACCATATCTGACAGCTCTGGTTATCTCTTGTGTTAACGCGTATATAATGATGCGATGTCAGATATTTTGTATATTGTTCAAATTACACGGGCCTCTTCTTTTCCATACAGACCGACCAACAACATGCCAATTTAAATCTTACACAAGTTCCGTGAGAGGATAAAGACAAAATCAATACTACTCCACCTTGTTAGCATATCATGTCGACGTCGGAAAATAGAGTTCACAACAGAGAATATATATTTTTGGCCTTTAAATATCGGATATGGTACAAATTACAAAGCAGTTCTGCTATATGTAAGAAAACAAAATGAAAAAAAAGCAGGGAAAAGAAGAAAAATGCTAGTTCGAGGGATAAATAGTTCGAGATACGGGGATAAATAGTTCGAGACACGGGGAAAACTAGTTCCGCACACGAGGATAAATAGTTCGAGACATGGGGATAAATAGATCAAGACACGGGGATAATAGTTCGAAACGAAAACGGGGATATATAGTTCGAGACACATGGATAAAGTTTGGACCGAATGTACCCTCTATACTAGACTTATCCATAATTTCGCGTTTAGGATAGGCCTAGGGAAAGTGAGGGAAAACAGGTGAAAAGGCAATCAAAACCAGAAATAGTGAGAAATGATAATATCTACTGCTTCTATGAATATACGTTTCGAGTCAGGATGATATCTCATTACCCCCCTATCCACACACCCGTGTAGGAGTGGTATTCCATGACCCCGTACCTACATTCCCTGGTTAGAATGGTATCCCGTTACCCCCCTGTCGACACCCCGGGTCTGGGTAATGTTCATTAACCCTATACCTATATTCCCGGGATAGGATGATACCCTGTTACTCCCCTGTCCATACCCCGGCTCTGAATGATGTAACATATTATTGACATACTGTGTAATTTTCACACTTTCGAGATACCAGGCTTAGAAAATACAATTTCACCACACACGGTAACGGAATACGCATTAATGTTTTAATTAAGTTGCCTGTCGGATCGATACATGACAATAATTATCTACACACAGAATCAAAGCTGACTCGGTCCTACTCTTTATGAAATTGGCGATTATTTGCATGACATTCGTCTGTATGAATATTGGACATGGAATTGGGCTTAATTCGCCCTTAGGTGTGTAATGAAGGAAGATTTTAACGTTTTTGTCTCTCCAAACATAATGTTCTTAATTGAACATGATTAAGCTTAATAAGTTTCCTGCCACGTCGCTGATATTAGAACTAGAAATGATCAAAGTGCTTTCATTCGATTTCCAATACTAATGACAGTATTAATTCAGTGATTTCCATTTATGGAGATGGCGTATTTAATATGCATCAATCAGATTTGTTTCAATGAAGCATCAATGGAAGAAGAAGAAAGCATTAAAACGTGACCTACAATGGTATCAGGTAGGGGGCTATTTAAATATTGTCAGCTTTTATCCCTTTTAGTGCAAGTTTGAAATTCCCCTAATCTTTGATATCTGTTTTAATACCTCAATTGAATACAATAAAAACGCAGATTTGTGTTAAAAGTAAAGAGATTAAACGAAAAATCATCCCAATTCAAATAGCTTTTCTTTTTATTGTTTAAAAATCACAAGTTGAAGAGTAATCTGCAGTGTTTTTCAGGTAATCCCGGTTTGGACATGGGTATGTTTCTAATTAACGGTCCGGATTAGTTTGGTCCGGCTTTGATCTGCAACAGGACCTACACATCCTCAGCCCATCAGGTTCTGTAAGAACACATAATGGTCTCTGCGATCAAACCTATTTATTGCGACGCTTGAGTTCGTAGCTGAAGTCACTGAGTCACTCATTACCATCCGACACCATACACGGCACTGTTTACCTAATTTCCACGTTTCTGTACGGAATTTTGCCTAATTGCGGAGTAGATTATGTAAATCAGTTGCTTCTAATGTTGCGAATAATCAATAGTTTGTTGGAATATTACTTTTTTGATTATATTTTCTTGGAGAGTAAATACCGTGCATATGTGACAATGTTAGAGTATAAATCATTACGTCACCCGATAGAATATGTTTTGTAACAGACAATTATGTCACAGAGACGTATCGATCCAGACATTAAAAAGCTGGCAACATATCCTATTGACGTGAATCATATTGTGTAATCTGTTATTTTTTTCCATGACAGGTCTTGAGTGTAATCGCTTGCTGACCATTTGGACTTTTGACCGAACTGTTCACAAATTGATGAAACGGTTTTGTACTGATTGGCCGAGAGCGATAATGGTGAATATCAGAGAAGTTATTTACTTAAAACCAATGATGTCGAGTTGCCAAAGTGAATAATACGGTTCAGTCAAGTGTATGTTGTTTGTTGATGGTGATGAAACCGAAGACGCCAAGCAAAGAGACGAAAGTTTACCATGAAACCATATAAAACGGAAAGTTTAAAATTGAAACAAGGACATGAAATGTAGCTATGAAAAAAGGAACAAAAATCACTTCAAAAAACAAATGAGCAGAAAATTCACGTTGGAAACAAAGAGACAAAAGTTTACTATGAAAACAAATGTAACAATGAAAACGAAAAGACAAAGTTTTATTCAAAAACAAAAGGCCAAAGATTACTATCGATACAAAGAAATAACATCTTAACAATGAAAATAGAGGTACGAAAGTTGGTAATGAAAATAAAGATAATATATTTACTGTGCAAACGAGGAAATGAAGATTTACTATCAAAACATAAAACGAAATATATCTTTTAAAATAAGACGGCACTTTACTATGAAAACAAGGAGATGAATGCAGTAATGAAAACAAACAGACAAAATATTTCTTTGAAAACAGGGAGACGAAACTTTACTATAAAAATATACAGGCGAGTGATTCCCATGAGAGGAAAGAAATGAGATGCTTCTGTGAAAGGAAAGAGACGAGATGTAGATATGATAAAAAATATAACATTTTACAAGCAATACATCAGGGAGTGAGAAGTTAAACACAGCGATCAGCAAGTAGTGCAACTTAGGCGCAAGCAGTGGAAGAGACAAATGAATTTAACAAGCAACGCAGTGGGGAAAAGGCAGTGAAAACGTCGAAATAGATCTGCAAGTAGTGCAATTAGCAACAGGCAGTGGAGGGGTTGACTGTAGTCGAGAAGAAGTGCAGTGAAGGGGTCGACTGTAGTCGAGCAGAAGTGCAGTGGAGGGGACGACTGGAGGCGGGAAGAAGTGCAGTTGAGAACATGCAGTGGAGGGGTTGACGGTAGTCGAGAAGAAGTGCAGTGAAGGGGTCGACTGTAGTCGAGAAGAAGTGGAGTTGAGAACAGGCAGTGGAGGGGTTGACTGTAGTAGAGAAGAAGTGCAGTTAAGAACAGGCAGTGGAGGGGTTGACTGTAGTAGAGAAGAAGTGCAGTGGAGGGGTCGACTGTAGTCGAGAAGAAGTGCGGTGGAGGGGTCGACTGTAGTCGAGAAGAAGGGCAGTGGGGGGGTCGACTGTAGTCGAGAAGAAGTGCAGTTGAGAACCGGCAGTGGAGGGGTTGACTGTAGTCGAGACGAAGTGCAGTTGAGAACAGGCAGTGGAGGGGGCGACTGTAGTCGAGAAGAAGTGCAGTGGTGGGGTCGACTGTAGTCGAGAAGAAGTGCAGGGGAGGGGTCGACTGTAATCGAGAAGAAGGGCAGTGGAGGGGTCGACTGTAGTCGAGAAGAAGTGCGGTGGAGGGGTCGACTGTAGTCGAGAAGAAGGGCAGTGGAGGGGTCGACTGTAGTCGAGAAGAAGGGCAGTGGGGGGGTCGACTGTAGTCGAGAAGAAGTGCGGTGGAGGGGTCGACTGTAGTCGAGAAGAAGGGCAGTGGGGGGGTCGACTGTAGTCGAGAAGAAGTGCGGTGGAGGGGTCGACTGTAGTCGAGAAGAAGGGCAGTTGAGAACAGGCAGTGGGGGGGTTGACTGTAGTCGAGAAGAAGTGCAGTTGAGAAAAGGCAGAGGAGGGGTTGACTGTAGTCGAGAAGAAGGGCAGTTGAGAACAGGCAGTGGAGGGGGTGACTGTAGTCGAGAAGTAGTGCAGCTGGGAAAAGACAGTGGAAGGGTCGACTGTAGTCGGGAAGATGTGCAGTTGAGAACAGGCAGTGGAGGGGGTGACTGTAGTAGAGAAGAAGTGCAGTTAAGAACAGGCAGTGGAGGGGTTGACTGTAATCGAGAAGAAGGGCAGTTGAGAACAGGCAGTGGGGGGGTTGACTGTAGTCGAGAAGAAGTGCAGTGGTGGGGTCGACTGTAGTCGAGAAGAAGTGCAGTTGAGAAAAGGCAGAGGAGGGGTTGACTGTAGTCGAGAAGAAGTGCAGTTGAGAAAAGGCAGAGGAGGGGTTGACTGTAGTCGAGAAGAAGGGCAGTTGAGAACAGGCAGTGGAGGGGGTGACTGTAGTAGAGAAGAAGTGCAGTGGCGGGGTCGACTGTAGTCGAGAAGAAGTGCGGTGGAGGGGTCGACTGTAGTCGAGAAGAAGTGCGGTGGAGGGGTCGACTGTAGTCGAGAAGAAGTGCGGTGGAGGGGTCGACTGTAGTCGAGAAGAAGTGCGGTGGAGGGGTCGACTGTAGTCGAGAAGAAGTGCAGTGGAAGGGTCGACTGTAGTCGAGAAGAAGTGCAGGGGAGGGGTCGACTGTAATCGAGAAGAAGTGCAGTGGAGGGGTTGACTGTAGTCGAGACGAAGTGCAGTTGAGAACAGGCAGTGGAGGGGTTGACTGTAGTCGAGAAGTAGTGCAGCTGGGAAAAGACAGTGGAAGGGTCGACTGTAGTCGGGAAGATGTGCAGTTGAGAACAGACGGTGGAGGAGTCGAATGCAGTCGGGAAAAGTGCAGTAAGGAACAGGCAGTGGAAGAGTCGACTGCAGCCAGCAAGCATCACAGTGGTACATTTAGAGTCGATTGTGACGTGATTATACTTTAGACGGGCTGTGTTGGCAGACGACAGCAATTTTGGACATTAAGCACTTGTATAAAGATTGAACGAAATGATTTAAGGTAGACACAGTAGGAATTCTGAAAAGTAACACAATAAAATGAGGATAGGGGGTAGTTTAGAAAACAACAGCAAAAAAATGGGGTTTGTTGCAGGATTTGTAGACAAAAACCAATGCATTTAGACGGTTGCCCATCTTCGCAGCTGGAACCATTCACACTAGTCCCTCGTGAGATAGTGCAACTGGACATTATACGTGAATGTGTGCTATGACGGCAGATAGGAGAATGGTTTCTCAATCTATTGACAGTAGGGTTGTAATGACTGCCAGCAAAACAATAGAATACCAAAGCATCAGCAAAACCCTAGTTAAAACTAATTCAAAATATCAATACATGGAGCACTTAAAAAAATACACGGAGAAATAAGTGTTCTAGAAATGTAAGCAATCATCATAGTCAATCTTAGTCAAATTAAAGTAAAGTTACGTCTTATCGTAAAAAGCGAGCGCATTCCTCAGTTTGGTGAAAGGTATGGCAGTGTACAGCGTGGACAACTCAAATGTTCTTACGACAGAAACATGTTTAGGAGAGAAGGCTCTAGATTGACCAAAATATGTTTTGTAAATCTAAGTCATATCCAAGTAATATCACGTCTTCCAGCGATAACCGGAGTCGTGGCATAGGAAATAGCAGGGCCCACTAAACAGCGTAATAGAGGCCTCGACCCATGTCACGCGAGTTTTCTTCAGCATTCATTATTTGTCTTCGGTCCTTGTAATTGAATTCAAGTTCAGAAGGGTAAATATAATCGGTGTGGTCAGTAAATTATTATTTAAAGGCAGCATAACCGTCGAGATATTTGATATCGAGGTTTTTGTTACCACTCCTGATAAACTCCTCGATAAATATTGCCTCATAAAAAAACTAGCAGTCAGAAAATGGCACAGTTTGTTCCCATAGGTATATCTTCAGTTTGTTGGAAAATCTTACCAGAGTGTAAAAAGTGGCAGTGTCAAAAATACTGATACCAGATAGAAGAAGCATTTTTCAGGAGAAAGTGTTCAACTTAAGATCGTTTTAATTCCGTTTTTGTAGTATGCAATATCACAATATGACTGTAACACTGATTTAATGGAACATATAGTTATACTTTATCAGTTAATAACAACCATTGTTCCATTTGTTTCTAGAAGAACAACAGTAGATATACATAGGATTTATAGGTGATACCTAATGGTATTTATAAATATACATTATGCTCAGAAAACTGCCAATCATTACTTGAAAATAAATTTAGTTTTGTGAAATAAAATGATCAATATTTGTTATGGAACCAAAAACACGAAGAAGCTGTACAAGCTCCGGAAAAAAATTCGACCTAACATATCCAATAGCATGATCACACGATGCGACTATTGCACGAATGCAGACTTGGAGGTTTCCTTCTGTTTCCTCTTTCAAGTGGATATTGATCATATAGGCATGGATTTCAATTACGACAACTGTTGAGCTCAATGTTTGCTTTCTCTCCTCACCTCGTTGTCGACTCCTCTCTTGTAAGTCCGGGAGGATCATACTCTGATGACTCCTTGGTACCTCTCTCAAGGATTTGGTGGCGATGCCCTTTGCTCATGCTCCCCTAAGATGTGTTTAACCGTTTGTCGGCACTTCAATGAAGCACTTGAGCGACCCATCCTTAGAGGATAACGTCATACCTTATCGGCTCATACGTCACCAATGACAACACTTGTCAAATAGGCGGCGACTCCGTGTCAAGATTCCAAAATACAGCAGTATTACGTATAGAAAGGCTTCACGACCATTAGTATTTTCGTTGGTTTAGAATTACTAAAGAAAACGTTTCGTTGTTTTGTTGGATCGTTAACATATTTGTGCATAGGTATGTCGCTGCTAATGATGGCTTGTGGACGAGCACTAAACACACAGCGTTCGTTAACGAATCCTCAAAAGCTGCCAATTAACTCCTAATGCATTTCTCAGTGCTGTATAAGATGCCCATGGGAATAGGTCTATATCCAGCCAAAATATAAGTTTTAATGTTCGCGTCGCTCACCGCTTAGGGAAACAAAAAGTGTTTAGAAGAGAAGAGCGGTGGTGAAACACGTGACTCTCGCGAGAAAACAATGACCGGTCAACTTAGCACTAATATAAAGTAACGCTTAAAGTACGTTCAATTTTTTACAACTCCGTCGCTCTTAACCTGGTAGAAAATCTACAGCAGCTGTTCCGCTCTCGTTCTCCCCTCTTTAATGTCTCAAATGATTTTCAACATGTTTTAAGCAGATGACTCAATTGTGTCAATCTTATTTATTCGAATGCCATCTGACAAAGGACGGTGGAAATGGTTCGAGATATGTTTGGCTAGGAGTAAGATGTTAATAGTTGGCGTGGCTGTGGTGGCGATAGCGGCGGCTACGGCGGTCGTGGTTATGGTGGTGCTGTTCGTTGTCGTGGTTATGGTGGTGCTGTTCGTTGTCGTGGTTACACGGTGATGCTGTTCGTTGTCGTGGTTATGGTGGTGCTGTTCGTTGTCATGGTAATGGTGGTGCTGGTCGTTGTCGTGGTTATGGTGGTGCTGGTCATTGGTCGTGGTTATGGTGGTGCTGGTCGTTGTCGTGGTTATGGTGGTGCTGTTCGTTGTCGTGGTTACACGGTGGTGCTGGTCGTTGTCGTGGTTATGGTGGTGCTGTTAGTTGTCATGGTTATGGTGGTGCTGTTCGTTGTCATGGTTATGGTGGTGCTGGTCGTTGTCGTGGTTATGGTGGTGCTGGTCGTTGTAATGGTTATGATCGTGCTGGTCGTTGTCGTGGTTATTTTGGTGGTGTTCGTTGTCGTAGCTACACGGTGGTGCTGGCCGTTGTCGTGGTTACGGTGGTGATGGTCGTTGTCGTGGTTACGGTGGTGCCGGTCGTTGTCGTGGTAATGGTGGTGCCGGTCGTTGTCGTGGTTACACGGTGGTGCTGGTCATTATCGTGGTTACACGGTGATGCTAGTCGTTGTCGTGGTTACACGGTGGTGCTGGTCGTTGTCGTGGTTACGGTGGTGATGGTCGTTGTCGTGGTTACGGTGGTGCTAGTCGTTGTCGTGGTAATGGTGGTGCCAGTCGTTGTCGTGGTTACACGGTGGTGCTGGTCGTTGTCGTGGTTACGGTGGTGATGGTCGTTGTCGTGGTTACGGTGGTGCTGGTCGTTGTCGTGGTTACACGGTGGTGCTGGTCGTTGTCGTGGTCACAGTTGAGGGTTTGGTGGTGCTGGTCGTTGTCGTGGTTATACGGTGCTGCTGGTCGTTGTCATGGTTACGATGGTGCTTGTCGTTATCGTAGTTACGGTGGTATTGGTCGTTGTCGTAGTTACACGGTGGTGCTGGTCGTTGTCGTGGTTACGGTGGTGCTGGTCGTTGTCGTGGTTACCGTGGTGCTGGTTGTTGTCGAGGTTACGGTGGTGCTGGTCGTTGTCGTGGTTACGGCGGTGCTGGTCGTTGTTGTGGTTACACGGTGGTGCTGGTCGTTGTCGTGGTTACGGTGGTGCTGGTCGTTGTCGAGGTTACGGTGGTGCTGGTTGTTGTCGTGGTTACGGTGGTGCTGGTCGTTGTCGTTGTTACGGTGTTGCTGGTCGTTGTCGTGGTTACCGTCGTGCTGGTTGTTGTCGAGGTTACGGTGGTGCTGGTCGTTGTCGTGGTTACACGGTGGTGCTGGGCGTTGTCGTGGTTACGGTGGTGCTGGTCGTTGTCGTTGTTACGGTGGTGCTGGTCGTTGTCGTGGTTACGGTGGTGCTGGTTGTTGTCGTGGTTACGGTGGTGCTGATCGTTGTGGTGGTTACGGTGTTGCTGATCGTTGTCGTGGTTACACAGTGGTGGTAGTCGTTGTTTTGGTTATGGTGATGCTGCTCGTCGTGGTTATGTTGGTGCTGCTCGTTGTCGTGGTTACGGTGGTGCTGGTTCGTTGTCGTGGCTACACGGTGGTGCTGGTCGTGGTCGTGGTTACGATGGTGCCGGTCGTTGTCGTGGTTACACGGTGGTGATGGTCGTTGTCGTGGTTACACGGTGGTGCTGGTCATTGTCGTGGTTACACGGTGGTGCTGGTCGTTGTCGTGATAACACGGTGGTGCTTGTCGTTGTCGTGGTAACACGGTGGTGCTGGTCGTTGTCGTGGCTACACGGTGGTGCTGGTCGTTGTCGTGGCTACACGGTGATGCTGGTCGTTGTCGTGGTCACAGTTGAGGGTTTGGAAATCGTAGTCCTAGCTTTCTGGGTAAAGGTAGTCGTGGTCGAGGGTAATAGTCGTATACTACATGTATGCGGTTTGTGTCATTTGGTGGTTATCTATGTACTTTGTTTTTGAATGCATATCAAAATATTAGAGTGATACATTATATATATTGTTTCATTAAATATGCATAGAAATAATGTTTGATTTGTATGATAAATATCAATTGCCTGCAAATTGCATCGCTGATGGCGTTCATTAATTACTCCGTGTTAATGATAAACCTTATAGACGCAGTTCTAATTGAAGCGTTTGATCGGTGTACGATTTTAAATACTACCTTCCCTCATTTCTCGCTCAATTAAACATTGCCCTAGAGGGCTAATGAGATCGTTACTAAAACTCATTTCCAAATTACCGACAGCATCGCCATTATGGTTTATACGAACACCCGACAGAATTATATATGCTTGGTATGTGAGATCCATATTTAGTCTCACGCTATTTTTTTGTACTTTTGATTTAAAGCGTAATTAGGCCTCATTATTTTCTTCAATCATTTTTTAATCGACACATGGAATTACGGTGCGTTCGCGGATATCAAGCTTTCCTTACATGCCTATTACCGCCTCGAGTGAACGTCACTTGTCGGTAGGGGTTGTAACATTCCATCCTGTAGTATACGCTTCGTCTCATCTCCTTCAGCTGTGTCATGTCGTAATATTGTCTTTTCGTATTCACTCATTTGATCTATGTATTTCCCTTACCTCTGCATGTCAAATAAATGATTTTTATATAAAAGTAACCCAGTATGATGCCGTTATGTATACCTAACGTCTTCAGCTTCTAAGCTTAGACTTGCAAACTGTAGTAACTCCGTTAAGTCAAATCATTTCAGAGAGGAAGATATACTCCAGCAGTCAAAGGTTTATTTTAATACGGTTAAAATTATCGTTAGTCGTATCATGGAATAAGATTCCAAGTCCATGGTCGTATAGCTATGCTTCCATTTGCTTATATTCCTAATATCATAAAACAAATGATTGCATGGGGAATGTCTCCTATTTGGTTTGAATTTTTTCATTTTCATAAATAATTTGAACTTATTTCATGAGTGCTGATTAATTAAATGCAAATTTTGCTCGAGTTCGAACTTTGTACGGTAATAATGTTGACATAGTTTCATCAGAATACGGTCATATTGGAATAAGTTATTAACCGTCGTCGAACTAATGAACACTATCTTAATCAGGTATGCATTGGTTGGGCTCAACTTCCAACTTAGCCTTCGCCGTAGTGTTTTGTACATGTTTACCAAGTTTGATAAAATTCGATTGATATTTAAGCGAGCTATCCGGCAGCAGCCAAGGTGTGGATGCACGGTCGACAGGATGTAGAACCCATTCTATAAATACGCCCCGTCAAAATTTGACAGCTGTATCAAAACACGATGGGATATTGTACTTTGATACAATGCCCACTACAGATTCAATACATAGATCAAACACAAGATTCCGTACAAATCTAGACTACATGTAAATCGCAACTACAATCTTTTTTGTTTGTCAAGTTAAGTCATTGAAAAGATGTCCATATTCTTTTCATACATCTGTATAAAAACAGGTCATATTGGCAAGACGACAATGGGAGCCAAATTGTATTACCGAAATAGTGTGACTGAGCGTTGCCTATTTCCGGTTCCGGTCTCAACGACATTTTAACACAAAATGAAGGAAATACGGAGAAGAAAATGTTGGAATGAGCCGTCCTAAATTCAGACTGCAATCTTTGTCAACTATTTCATGAGTTTAATTCAAAATTAAATTTATCAAAAAACGTGATTGACTTGAAATTGGATACTTAAAAGATAATGAAACATCTAAGGGTAATCGCAATGTAGTTCAGGGCCATTCTTTACCTTAGGAAATCCTCATTTTCAATTCAAATAGAACTGGGCGACCTTGATTTTTTTTATTAATTTCTCTGATGAATTAATGAAATGACTGAAAAGATATTCAAGGACCATCGTCTCAATCGAAACTAATTAGAATTAAAAGCAGAAGCGCAGTAGAACTTGCGCATGCCTAAAAGGACGTGAATGTACATAAGGATTGGGCACAAGTTGTCCAACTTATGTAAAGCCCTTTTTCCCAATAACATCATGAAATATATATACATACAAGATGGCAATTTTTAAATTAATTAATATTTTCAATAAAGTTAAGAGAGAGAGAGAGAGAGAGAGAGAGAGAGAGAGAGAGAGAGAGAGAGAGAGAGAGAGAGAGAGAGAGAGAGAGAGCGAGGACAGGGTTCATGTGACTAATGCACCTCGTTTGGCAATAGACCTTTATAAGTTTGATCCCTGCATTATTTTAACTCGCAATTAAAACATATATCTTGAAATCTTA